GCAAGCTGAATTGGCCCTGAGTGGCAGGCAGGGGGAAGACTCACAAAGGGACCAGTGGTCCAGTAAACCAAAGTGTTTCTATCCACTGATCATATCTCAGAGATAGTATAGTTGCCATGCTGACCTGGTAGGAAGGGATAAATAATAATAAGGTCACCCAGATGGGTTGTTAAAAAATTCCAACATCACACATGGTGTCTGCCTGTTTCTTTATCATGGTAATGTAGTGGGCCAACAGTATATAAGCTGCGGTTCTGCTTTTTTTCAGGGCTGCTCAGCAAGCTGCCAATGCTTTGTTGGGAGCCTGGTGTACACGTTGTTGTTGCATGCTTAATAAATTTATGTTGCATCTTCAACATGATTTGATAACTTTATGCAATTATTTGGCTTTTTTATTTAACATTCTCTATCCCTCTTCTTTTATGCATCTCCCTTTTCTCTCCCTTCCTTCCCATTGACTGCCAGGGAGTAATCAGGTTGCTCTCACTGAGACTTTTGAGACGACAGCAAGAGCCACGTGGAATTAGGGTGGAAGTCAGAGTTTGCCTCATATCTCTGATGCAGATGCACTTCTCCCCTTTCATAAGCATCCTCAGCACGTGGCAGCACTCGGGTACCCTTGTTGGGCTGGGAAGCTAAGCAGGGATCAGCCTGGAGAGTCCATGGATGCGGGACAACTAGGGCTGAAAGCTAGACTGTGCAGGGGGGTGAAAAGAACACCCTGAAGAAGAAAATGACAAATAGTTTCCATGTTGCTGTTGAGAAACTTGTAGTAGTGTAGCCATGAAATCCCCAGGCATTGAGGGTCTTTCAAAAGAGACTTGGGCTGACTTTTTGTGCAGTATAATTGATGTCCTTCTAACTTGCTTGTTCTTCCAGGAGGCCCCGACCATCAACAGTACTTCCTCGGAGAAGCAGCGGACCTGCCCCAGCGGGTGTACAGCAGCAGGAAGAAGAAGGCGAGTTTTGATTCCCCTCCAAAGAGCCAGAAAGTCCCGCTGAAGGAAAAACTGCACAAGTGCCAATATTGTGGGAAGCTCTCTGACTGCCGCGCCCACCTGATTATCCATGAGCGAACCCACACGGGAGAGAAACCCCACAAATGCTCAGCTTGTGGGAAAAGCTTCACCCGGAAGGAATCTCTGATTATCCACGAAAGGTTCCATACGGGGGAGAAGCCATATAAATGCTCTGTGTGTGGCAAAACCTTCAGTGATAAAATTGGGCGGCTCATCCACGAGAGAACTCACACTGGGGAGAAGCCGTACAAATGCTCCGAGTGTGGGAAGAGCTTTGGGACTCGCTGCAACCTCCTGAGGCACCGGAGGGTCCACACGGGTGAGAAACCGTATTGTTGTTCTGACTGTGGACAGAGTTTCCGGTACAGACCGCAGTTAGTGATTCACGAGGGGACGCACAAGGGGGAAAAGCCTTATAAATGTGCAGACTGCGGAGAAACTTTCAGTCAGACACGGCATCTGGTGATACATAAGTGGACTCACACCGGGGAAAGACCCCATGAATGCGCTGTCTGCGGCAAAAGTTTCAATCAAAAGTCGGACCTCATTACTCACACCAGGACCCACACTGGGGAAAAGCCGTACATCTGTGCCAATTGCGGGAAGAGCTTCATCTCTAGTTGTCAGCTCAGGAAGCACGAGCGAATCCACACCGGAGAGAAACCGTACCAGTGCACAGAGTGCGGGAAGTGCTTCACCTACAGTTCTCACCTCACCACGCACAAGCGCACACACACAGGTGAGAAACCTTACCAGTGTCCGGACTGTGGGAAGTGTTTCATTTCTAGTTCTCACTTCACTGCCCATAAAAGGACGCATACTGGTGAGAAGCCGTACCAGTGTACCTACTGTGGGAACAGTTTCATTCAGCGATCGCAGCTTGCCAAACATGAGAGGTCCCACACAGGAGAGAAGCCCTACATCTGCTCCGAGTGTGGGCAAAGCTTCCGGTGGAGCCAAGGGCTCAAGAAGCACATACGTATTCACACGGGCGAAAAGCCGTACAAGTGCCCCGAGTGTGAGAAAATGTTCTCCAGCTCCTCTAACCTGTCTAGGCATCAGAAAATCCATGCAAGGGAGAAATCATAATGGGTGTTTTAGACAAAAGACAGTATGATTACCCCTGGAATAGCTAGATAGTGTGGTGTAGATCAAGGAAGAACACAGAAAGAAGGGAACAGAGTTGTGTCTGCCCAGCTGCGAAACCAGAATCCTGTAAAGATCTGGTTTGCTGGAAATGACCTTGTTTCTCCTCACTTGGGTTCATCTGCTAGTGGGAGAAGCTAAACCAGAAGTATCTCTCCCCTCCACCACCCCAAAGTCTGCAATGAATTGAGATTGCTAGACCTCATGAAGCTCTCATGCTGAGATATCACAAGAATCTGCAGGAGTGCTGGAATCTGGTGAGATCTTGTGCAAAGTGAAGGCATTTTAAGGTGGTTAAAATGATTTTGTTGGGGAGATAGCAAGTGCCACTTGGGAAGAGAGCTGGACATCTGCAGGCAGATGTTGCTGAACTTTATGCTACATAACAGGTGCTAATTCATTCTGTGCTTCATTAACCATGATGTTTAAACTGTGATCTCTGGCTCATTGTTTTCTTAAGTCAAGGTTGGAAAACGGAGCTCCCAACTCTGGTTTGGAGGAAACAGTGCAGAGTTGCCAGTTTATACACCACCCTAAACAAACCAGAGAAAGAACTTCCATGGTGTGGTTTGTGAATAACTCTTAACTATAAAGTTTTTCTTTAAAAATTGGCTCAGTACAGACTGAGGTCCTATAGTTTGTTCAACAAATTGTGATTAGAAATAAACTCTAGTGTAACTTTATGTACAAATGCAGGTTGTTTAGCCACTTTTGGCGGCAAGAGGAGTCAAATGGGAGGGGAAGAGAGAGTTCATTCTTGGAAAACCGGAATTCTTCAGAAGGACATAGTGTGCAAATGTGGCCTGTAAGCTTGCTCACTGATTGAAAAGTTCATCTGTAAATAATTGCAGGGAACCTGACTGGGCCCCAACCCGATTGTGACAATTCCCAATTTACTAGTCTCCAAGAACCCAGTACAATTAAGAAAACTGGGTTTGTAGTTATAGGAATTACACATTGAGGAATTGCATCACCAGTGGGCAGTCATTGATGGGACCACAAGAATGAGAGGAAGGGCACTCTGTAGTTTTTAAATATTAATCAGAAATATTTCTGTTAGGAGGTTGTATTTCTGCTTCCCAGAAGAACACTAGAGTAAGGGAACTTTGAATCTAGCTCCTTCCATCAGCCGCAAGAGGAATACCTACAAGGCAAAGTAGCAAAGAGTGATATAACCCTTCAAAATAAGGGTTTTGAAATATTTATTTTGTACATCCAGAGCTTTTTTTTATAGTGTAATTAGTTTATTTTCAGACAAGAATAACAAAAGGAAGTTACGTTGTTCAAAAAGAATCATCTTCCCTCCATGGAAAGGAGTCCAAATTACCTTGAGCCCAAAGAACTGAGAGATGTCAAAACAGAAGCTTTCATAATGTGAGTTGATGGGAAGACTTAAATGGAGATTGATATTTGTATGCAGACAAAATAAAAAGGTTGCAGAGTTGGTGTCTTTAAAAGTTAGACTTTAAAAAGTCAAAGTGGCATTGAGGAGCTTGAAGCAATTTTTCCCCAGCTCTGTTTATGAATCAATGAAACCTCTGGGGGAGGAAAATCCACTCTGTTGTGTTTTAGTTAGACATTTGTGTAAATCTATTATTCTATACCATCTGTTTTCAACCAGCACCAAAGGAACTAGAAAATAAATGTGCAAACTCATAAACGTTGCCTTTTTAGCTTACACTTATGAGTAAACAGAAGGTTTTGTGTTAAAATGATCTGAAAATGATTTTGTCTTGCTTGTTGAAGAATGGAATAGGAGAGGGGTGGGGGGAAGGGGCTTAATTTTATCTTACTTTTCAACAAAGAAATGGAAGGATTACAAATGGTTACCTTCTACTAATTCCCAATTATGAATGTATTTTGTTTTAAAAAGTTCTTTTCTGTGAAAGGCATGACAGCTATCACTCTGAGCAATAGCTTAAGGCAGTGTTTCTCAACCTCAGCCACTTGAAGATGTGTGGACTTCAACTCCCAGAATTCCCCA